CTTGGATTAGACGGAGGAAAATCGTTTGCAAATGCACTTTGCAAGAATGCTGCGCTGACTTCTTTATGTCTCGGTGATAATAATCTTGAATCAGGAGGAGGAATAGCATTAGCTGATTCACTTTGCAAAAACACTACGTTAAAAGAATTGAAAATTTGGACCAATAATCTTGGATCAGACGTCGGAAAAGCGTTTGCAGATGCACTTTGTAAGAATAATTCGTTAATTTTTTTGCATCTTGGTGATAATAATCTTGGGTTAGAAGGTGGAAAAGCCTTAGCAAATGCTCTTTGCAAAAATAATACACTCAACGCATTGTATATTTATGATAACAAAATTAACTTTATTATAAGATCTAATAATCCAAATATTAATATAAAACAATAAGTATAAGGTATTGGTCATGCTATATCATGAAGTTGTTTAGTCGGGTAAATGATTGGTTAACTTGTGCCGCGTAGCAGTGGAGTGGTCGATCACCAATAAAATCAAACGTTTGTCTAGTCCCATATAAATTTACAATATTGCAGGCTTTTTTTATCATTATAAAAAAAAAATAATAAATTTTTTTATTAATTAAATATAAGTTATGATTATGATATATGGCGATTATGCACATGTGATAAAATGCATGATGTTCATCTTAATGTATAACCGCTTCTAATAGATTTAAATAGTTATTCAGTCTTAACCAAACTTGATAAAAATAATTCTTAACACTTCTTTTACAAAGTTACGGTACTTTATATATAGTTTTACCCTATTTATAATAGAAGATTTAAAAAATTGGATTTTATATATACCAATTAGGAATATACCGTAGTGCACTGACCAATGTATCCCTTTTTCAATACCACTTGCAAATAACCGGTGCAAAACACGAGATCTCTATTAATTAAATATAGGTTTTTTTAAAAATTTCTAGACTGCTTATCATGAATGCGGAGTATGGAATGTCTTTTTACTGCAACACAGACCCACTGCTGTATAATATACCCTGGAGCTTCTGTAAGTTTTTTGACAGGTATTTTGTATTAGACCGCGGGTCTTCTGGTCAGTGCACTACGGTATTTTTTGTTTGAAAATTTTTACTATGGTATATAAAATCTGAAATTGTAACTTTGCTAAAAATGCAGTAAACGGTGAAAGACTTTAAGATTGAAAAAAGCATTTATTATTGAGCGTTAACTAGTCTTTTAATATAAAGACCGTGGTATAATTTTTTAAACAAAAAATCTATCATTATATAAAAATCAACAAGACTAGTAATATGTTTGATTCTATTAGATGATTGACCACACCAGCGTAGCGATACGTTTCAGCCCATCATTTGCTCTGACAGAACAAATTTTGCGATCTTTACCATCGCATGATTCAATAGAAGCAATTTAATGTGTTCAAACATAGAAATCTAAGCAATTTTTAAGTTATAATAAGAGGGTAGTCATGTTAACTACGGAACAAGTTAGTAAAATTCAAAAAATTTTAATTTTTATAAATAATATATTTGGTTAAGTAATAAAAATTAATTTATTCGTTTATATAGTTTAATACTAATAAAAATACCAATATTATAAAAATTATTAATAAAAAAAATAATACAAGCAAAAAATCTATTTTGATCTGTATATCTAAAAAATTATTACTAATTTAGTTTTTATTTAGTTGAAATTATTAAATATAAATTTTACTAATAAATATTTTTGATTATTATAAACTTCATTATAAATTTTATTTTATATTTTAAAGTTAAAATTAAAATTTAAATTAGAGTATAAAATACAGTAAATTGAAATAAAATTTTTTAAAAATATATTATAATTTTTTTTGGAAAATTTATTAGTTTACACGTAGTGTTTATACACAGGTATATTTTATTAAATTACATGCCAATCAAACTAATTTTTACAAACGAAAAATTAAACCTTGCTTATGGTTAGGGTAAGGGTGGATTTGGGATTGGGTGAGATATAGCCTATACCAAAATTTCACAAGGAATTTTTTTTGTTAGAAGCCAAAAAGTGGTTTTATAATCAATATTTTGAGATATCTATATTACCCGTGTACATACACCCAGTGTACAAATAGAAATTCTCTATATATTTAATAATATATAATTAACTGTTAAATTTATACGTTAATAAAATTTTGTAATTTTAATTATATAAATTAACTGTTAATTTTATACGTTAATACGTAAAATTATGTAATTTTAATTATACGTATAACTATATAACTGTTAATTTATATCTTTTATTAAAATTTTGTAATTTAATTATCAGTTATTCTAATTAAAACTTGATATACCAATATATACAAATTTAATTCAAATTATTCTATATATAATTAAGATTAGAACGGAATAATTATACTAAAAATCCCAACCCTAACCTCAAAAATTCCGAATCAACTTAAATTCCATTCCCACCTACGACATATATACGTACAAACTTATTAATCTTATTTAAAATAACCTAATTCTAAATTTATATATATTATAAAATAATTCTAACCTAAACAACATAAGTTCGATAGGCGTGTTTATATGTCAATGTAAAGAAAAAAAAAATGGTAATGAAGACAAAACTAAGTATCAAAAACTTCGAAATATTGTTAAGACAAAAATTTATTAAATAACGAAATTCCAGAGATTTATTTAACCTGTTTGCTTTATAACAAAATTACATTTTTTTTTTTTTCAAAAAAACGTGAGCAATACTATATAAATGTGAATAAAATACTATAAACAAAATAAAATAAAATAAAAAATACTACGCATCAACAAAAAAAAAAAAAAAAGGTCTATAAATATTTGTAATAAGTAACTTCAATAATTTATGATTTGATCAAGTTATAATTGTCGTGGTTATTCATTGCTTTGGGGAGGTTCAGGTCGTCCGTTATTTTAAGGACCATTATTTTGAGGCCGTCCATTATTTTGAGGACCATTATTTGGAGGTCGTCCATTATTTTGAGGACCATTATTTGGAGGTCGTTCATTATTATTAAAGAAATTTTCCACTTGATTACTTATTTGTCCTCTCCAATTTGAAGGAATTGACGGTAATTCATTTGAAGTACGTGATCCACCTGTTTCTGATGGACCTTGAGCGGGTGAAGTGGTGGTTGGATCAGCACGACGAATGAACCGTTTTTCAACCTGTGCATACGGGGAGCCTACAGGATATGAAAGCGTGATAGTGATTAAGAGAATTGTGATGCTGAGAGATATAAATAATATTAAGAGGAATTTTTGAAACATTGTAGAGGTGGATGGATATGCTTATTTTTTACAAATTAACTTTATAGTTTTGCGACAACGACAACACGAAACAAACGGTAACAAATTCCTTATAGTTTTGAGACAACGACAACACGAAACCACACGGTACCAAATTCTATAAATACTTCATCCCAGCCACATTATAAACTACATCATAAAATCAAGCCTCAACTAGTACGCGTATTTCCCTAAGCCTCGTTATCACGCAAAAGAGCACTTTGGGTAATAAAAGCCGAGTTTACGCGTACAAATAACAAAACGATCGATCATGTATTTAAACAGCCCCAAACTGTAATATATCAGCTTCAAACTGTAAATATAGCGCGATCACAAATAACAAATCACTTAAAATAACAAATCACTTAAATAACAAACCACTTAAATAGCAAAGCCTCATTTTTTTTCCCTTTATATACATTAATACAACTAATTGTTAAGATACATATACATATATACAATAATGATTTCCTAAAATAGACTTTCGATTAAGTATGAATTAACATCAACTTCCTTATTTTTAATAGTATTCAACTTAAATGTTGAATATTGACGTTTAGTTATACGAAAAGTAGTTCCATTTGTACAAAATGAAGAAGGAATACTGATGAGACAAATTTGAGTGTAATAAGTGGATTTCAAAGACCAATCGGGTCCGGATATTGAGAATTTGGACGTTCCAGTATTCAAAGGTTTCTTTATATATATTATGTAGAAAGAAAATTAGTTGAAGAAATAATTTAAAAGAAACATAAATGATAATAAAATGGTATTATTATCTTACGTTATTTGCAATCAAAGGTGTATCATTTCCAACCTTATAAACCGCAGCAATCACATTAGCTATTCAACATTAATTATTACATTATTACATTATTATATTAATTATTTGATGAGAACTTTCTCTAGCAAAGATTAATATATATAATATATATAATAATATACTAACGATTTCCAAGAATTCCAGACGCCCACCAACTAATAGTTTGTTGACTTCCAACAATCCAAGGACCTGGTCCTGGAGCAACCACATGAATCTCTGGTACCATCGGTAACGCATTTATTAATCCAATTGTCATCATGAATATCATAAATGCTTTTATCATCATCGATATAGTTCTTGGAGTTTGAATAAAATTTATCATCATTTTGTACGTATTTGATTGTTAACGATGGTCGAAATTTTTGGAAAAAATACGTTCAATTTAAATAAGTTTAGTTTTGGTTATATAAAAATCTCCTTTACCCAATATAAATTAGATTTGTTGATATCGCATTATCGTTATTGGTTATTTCAATTTGATTATCAATTCGCATATGGTTTCCTTATATATAAAACCGATTTATAAAATACGTACACAATCCTGTCGGCCGTGCTTTTGATGTTATATAATTAGAAACATATTATCCAATATTCAACAAACTATAACCGCCATACAACCTAAGTGCGTACGTACGTACGTACGTATTTGCTCCCTGATGATTCAGAATGAATCGACAATAAGGTTTCTTGTTTCATGATTCTCATATCTATTAAGTATCGATAATAGAAGTCTGCAGGGATAGCTTCATTTTGTACACACTATTGCTATCTTTGTTATGCAAAATAGGTGATGAACAGAACATATACGTACGTACGGTTACGTAGTAAAATTGTATTCTCTTCTTCGGGTATTTATGTATATATAAACTTAATTCTTGTTAAAGTTCTGCCTGAATTCCTAGTTTCATACAATGGAGTCGTTGGCTCTACCAGGAACTGAAAAAAAATATAATGAAACCATTGATACTTTTATCAATTTTAACAAATTCTTTAACATATACTATATACATTCGTATACATATATGCACCATATATGCACCATGTAGATACGTATAAACCATTGCTATATACCGATACTATTCTGATTATTTATTTATAGGACTGCTTAGTTCGGCGTGGCTAAATCGATTTTTATTGAATATCACTACGTATCAGTTTCCGTACCCTTCGATATGTGTATCGGTATCATTTATATTCGGTTTTTAGTTATATGTTAAGAAATATATTAAAATGAATATATCAAAATGAGTATGTAGTACCAAGAGCATTCACTTTTCAATTCCGACAACACTACTTAAAAAACATTAATGTCAAAAAAACGCCATCGGAAATTGATTCCCGTAATGAAATATGAATGTGGATTGCAGATTTTGCGTCACTCGTATGATAACACCCTACATGAATGAATTTACATTAGCCAAATCCTGTTAAACTCTTTTTTTTTCCCAGACCAAAAAATATTGTTACGTCATATGTAAAATTGGTCCGATTTCAAAAATAATTACCCATACAAGTAAATTATCATGAAATAAAAATATGAAATTAATTTACTAAATTTCGATAAACTGTTATCGCTAAGGTTAGGGTGTGAGCCTAAGCCTAAGTGTTTCCTTCACTTTCTGCTTTTTTTTTTCGTTGTTTCTGTGATGAATCATGTGTGGCAAGTAGGAAATGCAGGAATTGATGACTAAATACTGCCTAAGTAGAATGCTAAGATAAGTATTAGCGTTAGTGAATTTAGAATTATTACGTTACGTATTTTAATCTGATATACAACAAAAATACTTAATTAGATTTAGTATTCTAAATATGTTTAAAATGGATACGTACTGTACAATAAAAAACTTAACAATAAGTTTAGGGTAAATGGTAAATACATATCCGAAACTACCTCTTATAAGTTCGGTACGGATTTGTTAGATGATTGATATCGAATACCGTTTTATGCTTAAGTAAAGTATAGGGTTTATTGCAGTTACGCTTTTAAGAGAATTATGTGATTTGCAGTTACGAAAGTAAATGTATTCGAGTTGTTTATGCATGAAGACTCTTTATTTATTAAGTTTTTGTTGAAACTTTGAATTTTGCAAAAGTTACTACAGGCCAGTGTGTAATCATAACCCCTAGATGGCAGAGTTTATCATTCATCAACTAGATTTGAAGGCTGTTTCTTGAGTAAACCTTGAATATTTGTTTTGCCAATTTTAGAATTGAGGATCAGTGGAAAATAGATATTTACTATTATTAATAAAAGCAAATCTTTTTTAATACTAAACTAGTTTTACTTTATTTATTAATTATTAAATTTTATTAAAAGAGAATTTTTATTTATATATAATGTATCTGAATATAGATATATAAAGAGCCAATCAAATCATATAATTAAATATAATATAAAATTAATGTATTTATTAAAAAAATTGATTAAAACTCAAATTTTCACTTATAAAACTACCTTTTGGATATTAATTAAAAAAATTTTTTGCAAAATTTTGATATACAGTAAATTATTTCTTGTCTCTATATCAAATTTACTCTTACTCTAATATTAAATAGTATTTAAATTTTCATTCTATACAAATTGTTTTGATTTATACATTATACAGATTTGCAAATTAATATCTATATATAATATATACTATATATATTAAGAAATTTTCTTATTAAAATATATTATATATATTATCCTTAGTTTATACTATTAATTAGATTGTATTACTATATTTACTATATAGAGATTTTGATTTTTTTTAAATATATTTAAGGTAAGCTTATATCTTTAAATTTTTATTAATATATATTTATTTCAACAAGTCCTTTATATATATGTTAATACAAAACTACAAAAACTTAAACTAATTTATCTATGATCTGAATCTATTAGAATGATCTATACTGTAATAAAATTTACTAAAAACTAATAAGCTTTAGCAAATCTTAAAGAAACAAGTGTCAAGTAGACAATCTTTTATTTAAAGGAAATTAAAAGAAAGATAAAA